TTGTGTGTTAATGTAACGATATCCAAGTCTAACGATACGATAACATCACGGTATGAACCTCACAGCACGATATTTATTGCGATATCGTGGGAAAGCTCACGATACGGTGGGGAGGCTCACGATTAGGGATGTAACAATATCCACGTCTCTCGGTACGATATGTGGAGGAAACAGGCTAAAACTGTTAATATTCTACTTTTTCCTCTTAAAATGCCTTGACAAGACTTAATCCAAAGAACTAAGACTTAAAAGAGCTTAGAACTTTTATTTCTTGTAATCTGCACTGAAATGGAGCAAAGGATCATGGTCTATGTCAGGGGTGTCGAACTCAAATTCACATAGGGCCAAAGTTAAAAACTGTGACTAATTTGTGAAAAGTTTATTGACAAATTTCAACAACATCTCCAGGTTTTTGCTTCTTTTGAGATATATAACGTTAAAACTTTTCTTATTAAAATAAATGTTTAATAATATATTTTTTTAAACATTTAATCCAGAACAAGCAGAATCTAAATTAATAACAAAACTTTAAATAAATAATGTCTCTATAGTTTATCTGTAGCCAGCGGGTCAGCTCTAATACATACTTGAAATGATCTCACAGGCCAAATATAATTATATCACGGGCCAAATTTGGCAACCGGGCCTGAGTTTGACATGTCTGGTCTATGTAGTTCTGTTTGTCTTTTTTTTTTCTTTTTTTTTTTACCTATTTCTGCACCATAACTCTTCATTTAAGCAAAGAGACTTTTAATTTGATATATTGTGATGGTCCACGATGTTATTGTGAGAACTTTGACGATAAGATATCACGATATTTCGGTTATTGTTACATCTCTAATGAACAGAAAGGCAAGGCAAGTTTATTTGTATAGCACAATTCGTACACAAAGTAATTCAAAGTGCTTTACAGAATAAGAAATACATTAAAATCATAATAAAAACAAATCAAAACATAAATAATCATGAAGATACAAATTTTAAAAAAAGAGAGACATAAATTGGAGAGAAGAGTGCGGAATGAAAACCTTTCAGTTATTTGCACAGTTAAACAGAAATGTTTTGAGCCTGGATTTAAACAGCGTCACAGAAGAGTCTGTCTCACATGTTCAGACTGTTCCAGGTTTTAGCTGCATGAACCTGAAACTCTGACTCCCCTTGTTTAGTTCGTGACTCTGGGCACCAGCAGGAGGCCGGTCCCTGAGCTCCTCAGAGTGTGAGATGGTTCATATGACACTAACATGTCACAGATGGACTTTGGTGCTCGGACATGGAGACACTTGTACAAGCAGAGCTGCTTTAAAGTCTCTGAGCCACAGGAGCCAGTGTAGAGACCTGAGACCAGGACTTATGTGCTCGTACTTCCTAGTTCGAGTCAGGACCCGAGCTGCAGTGTTCTGGAGTGTTCTGGATGTTCTGGATGTTCTGGAGTTCTGTCTCACAGCTCGTTTGGAGAGACCAGTGAGCAGAACATTACAGTATCTAACCTACTGGAGACAAACGCATGGATAAGTTTCTCCAAGTCTGATTTAGACAGTAAACCTTTGATTTTCGCTATGTTTTTTAGATGGTAAAAGGCTGCAGATGTTATTGATTTGATGTGGCTGTTAAAGTTCAAGTCTGAGTCCATTATTACCCCGAGATTTCTTGCCTGATTTGAAGGTTTTAGAGAGAGAGACTGGAGGTGACTGCTGACACTGTCCCTTTGTTTCTGTGGACCAAACACTATGACTTCAGTCTTGTCAGAGTTTAGCTGGAGAAAGTTGTTTTGCATCCACACACTGATCTGTTGGATGCAGTGACCAAGTGAGTCCACTGGTCCATAGTCTCAGAAATATGTTTCACTTAACATTAATTACACACAATAAAGGTGTTTTCATAGTTTTTATCGATTTAGTTCCATTCTAATATTTTCTGTACATTTGAGACGTTTTTGCACAGTGTACAACATGTCAAGTACAACATTTTTGTGAGATTTTTGTTGTTGTTACCTTTTTTTTTTTTCCTCTAATTTAAATGTAAATTACGAGTTAGTAGAGGACTAGATTGACAACACTATTTCATGGAATACAAAATGAGTCATAAACCCTCCCATAGGCACTTTACAAAATTAACATAACACTAATACTAATCGCGTTGCATTTTTGGTCACTGCTTTCACAGCTCAAATATTTTTGTTGTTTCTGTTTTAAAAGGGCCGTATTACGCTATTTTCTGATCTGTTATAATGTTGTTTCTTCATCACAAACAGACCTGGAGTTGTGTTTTGTTTCATTCACACATGTTTAGGTTCTTCTCTCAAACTGAAAACACTCTTAAAGACCTTGTGGTAATACAAAAAGTTCTCCACCCTGTTTTTAAACTCCATACTCCCTCCCTAGAATCATTTGGATGATTTCGGCCCTGGAAATTTCCCCATTTCTACTAAACAAAAGGTAAAAGGGAGCTGTTAACTTGGATTGCTTCGTGACATCACCAGGTGGAACAGAGCGTTTTGAGCTTTGGAGACGTAGACAGACTAATAATAAAGCGTTACTCAAAAACCCCAAAACACAACTCCAGGTATAGAGAGGAGGTAGAGCGCTTCACTGGGTCATAAAAAGTCAAAAGTAGCAGTACAGGTGCTCTACGAAGGTTGTAAACTTGAAATCTTGACAGAAAATTGCCCTTACTGAAAACATTTAAAAGTGGGTAAGGTGCAAACCCGAGGCACACCGACTGAATATATTAAACGTCCTTTATTACATGAAGGGACGCCAATGTGTTTCGATCAGCAGGATGGTCTTCGACAGAGCATAAGGGTGAAACAGGACCCACAGGTGTCGTTAAAGTTTGTATAGAGGATTTTCCAAGGAACGAGAAATCCAGCGACTGTTTGTCCTTTTTCAAATGTTGCGCATGCGTGAAACCACCCCCCCCCTCCCCTACAGCTCCTACGTAGAAACGCCTCCTCCCGCCTCCTCTTTACGCCAGAAACAGGTTTGTTTACAGCCGGTGCGCTGCACATGACTTGTAAACAACTAACTACAGTGTTGGTTAGACAAGACGGAGAAGTGAGGAGCGGGGGGAGCGGGTGTGCGGACATTTCGTTCGCGGACGAGAAGTGAGGAGCAGGGAGCAGGGAGAGGAGAGAGGAGAGGGGAGCAGGTGCGCGGAGATTCCGTGCCCGGAGAAGTGAGGAGCAGGGAGAAGAGCAGAACGGGCAGCGGGGACAGGAGCAGGAAAGGGGTGCAGAGAAGGTTGCGCGGAGATTCAGTGCGAATGAACTAACTACAACACGCAGCAGCAAGCGGACTCTTTCTTTGCCTTGAAAATTACGTTTTCAGACATAGGATATCGCTTTCGTGTCCTGAAAACGTTTGTCTAGCTCTTGGAAATAAAGTACGTTTTCATAATAAGCAGAAGTTTCCTGTCCAGGAGTAATTTGTGGACCAGTGCGTCAGTCTTTAGACCCTGCGTCTGCTTCAGTTGCGCCATCGCTGGAATGAATCTTCAAGAATCACCTTAGTTTGGCTTCGCTGCTTTTCCCCTTGTCTTCTTCTTTCAGCGACCTCAAAAACGGACTTTCTTTTGCGGCAAACTGCTCCTGGATTCTTGTCTGCCATTGCAACAAACTTTGTGCGAACTGCGAGGAAGATATAGGTCAAAAAAGCCGCTAAGAACTGTTGCGTTGGTGGAGTAAACAGCGTCTGTGCGTCTTGCGTCTGTGGACTGCGTGACAGTCGTACGTAAACCACGTACCGGCGGCGCGCAGGCAAGTCAGTTACGCTAGAAACGTAGGGAGATTGATTGACAGCCTGTCAGCTCACAGATAACGAGGCAGTGTCGTTATCTATTGGCAAATGTTTAGCCCCACCACGTCCAGAGTTGATGAATTTTTATTCTCTTTTTTTTGGTCATCATAATTACAAGGCTACTGCACCTCTATAATCTATCATTGACAATTTGAAACAAAAAAAAATCCTCCATACAACCTTTAAATACAATTACATCAATCACGTGACTATAGGAAAAAGAAACAAAAAAAGGCTGGCCACCCAAAGAGGAATGTTAATGGACATAATAATAATAATAAACAATAATAAACCTACAAATACACAACTGGACACCGTTGGACCACAGATCAAAAACATCATACACATTAAAAAAATAGTTTTAACAGTTTCAGAGGAATAGTCCAATGCGATTCATTTGCTCTTCTGATATATTATGTTATCAGGTTCTTTTTACAGACCAAGAGTTTGTTTTCATACCTGACAGTTTCGACTGCTCACTATCGCTTTTCCTCAGAGTGGTCACGTGATGTTGCTGTGACATGATTTAAACAGGTTTTGGCGCCGTCTTCCTACCGGTGGAGGCAGGACGACAGCGCCACCTGCAGTCCCACTTCCTCAGGACAGTATCCCAGGTGTGTGAGAGTAAAAAAGCCCCCTCGTCCGGGTTTATAGTCCCGTGGGCACGTTTCTGTATTTCGATTGCCTCTTTAATCCAGCGGCGTTGTTTGTTTTCCTCTTTCCCAATGATGTTTGCTCCGTCCCATCACGTGACCACTCTGAGGAAGACCGATAGTGAGCGGTCGAAACTGTCAGGTATGAAAACAAACTCTTGGTCTGTAAAAAGAACCTAATAACATAAAGTTTCAGAGGAACATTGAATAATCCAAATCGTCATTGAGGCCCGGTTGTTATGCCCTGACGAAGACCATCTCGCTGATCGAAACGTGTTGCCGTCCCTCCGTGTAATAAAGGACTTTTAATATATTCATTTTTTCAATAAGGGCAACATTCTGTCAAGACAACTCCTGGTATGTTTTTTATGATGTAGCAGCATTATAACAAGGCTTAAAGCATAGAAGAGTACATTTTTCATAATATAGGACCTTTCTAATAACTTTTTTTTTTTGTTTTCCAGCGTGTGCTCACAAATATTCTCTTTATTTTCTGTCGTAGATGTTCTTTCAAACCTCTCGGCGATATGTAAAACTGCCGACTTCTTTGCAGGTCTTAAAAACGGAGCGAAAGTCGAGTCTGGCGCCAGTGACGACGAGCTGACCTCTGACATCTTGAGCCACTACAGCAGCGCCAGCGAAGGAGCCTCGGTCATAGACGAGCCCACAGGTTTCAATATTACACTTCAATGACATATTTTATTATTAAACTATTTACAAACACGACCAGTCAACAGTTTGGACTCACTCTCATTTAAAGGGTCGATATTATATTGTAGATTCTCACTGAAGACATCAAAAAGATAGTATGAAAATGAGCTGTATATAAAATTACAAAACATATTTATTGAATTTTCTTTTCTTTTTTACATAAATCCATAAATGTTGGTTATATTCGAGGTCTTCAGTTTGTATTCACAGTTTAGGAAGTAATATAAACACAAAGGAAAACACATTGAATGAGAGGGTGTGTCCAAACTTTTGACTAGCAGTGTATAAAAAGAAAATTATATAAACATTGATTAAATTATTGTCGATCGTTATTGTTACAGGAAATGAGACTGTAGATGAACAAACCGCTCAGGAGGAGACGGAAGACAAACTCAAACAATGCATAGACAACCTGATGGACAAGAGGTGACGTTTTATTATTCTGTAAATTGTAATGCCTTCAATGTTTTTTTTTTTACTTTACTTTATTTTTTGAGTTTTGGCATTTAAAAGCGCTATATAGAAAAATAAATCGTAATTTATCAAATGTACCAGTAAATTATAATCCCAATCCACTTCACAAACAGTTTCCAAAGTGCTACACAGATACATAACAATAACAACAATAATAAATGATAAAATAAACTGCTGAAATAATCATACTCATCTTAAAATAATAAAACCAATAAAATAAAATAAGAGCAAAATCATAGAATAGCAATAAATAAATAAAACTAATAAAAATACATAAAAAAATAAATAAAAAAACACAAATAATAAACATGACAGGAAGAGAGGGAAAAAAAACAAAACAATAATAATAAAAGAAGGTTCACAGCATACTTTATTGGTACCAACAGGTTAATTTTATTTGGCATTGGGATGGGACGAGATACGGGATTGGGTCAACGAGAAAAGATGAGATTTTAACACAATTCCAAATATATATATATACATTTTTATTTTTTTTTTCAATTTTGTGCTCACATTTTTTTATTTATTTGATTTGTTGTGGAAAAAATGATATATCTCCTGAAGATAAATAATGAATCCATTTGCGAAGCCCGATGAGTTTTTTGGAATATAGATCAAGGTTTGTTCTTGTTACAGCAGATATGGACAGGGCCTCGACCAAAGCCCAACAGCCTCTCCCCACCAGCCGTATGTTCCTGTTCCTACTACATCTCCCACCGTATCTCCCAGTCTCCCCCATGTATCTGCCCAGAGCATTTGAGCTCTGAGTATTTATACAGAAATACAAGTTACATACATATCAAAGCAGAGTGACTTTGGTTTCAGAGGCTGGTACTAAATGAACATACAGTTGAGGACAACAAAGGGCTTCCTGAAGGAGGAGACAGTTGTGCCTGATGAACCTTTACACATGTTCATGACTGGTCTGGGTTTCAGGTAGAAATCACATTCATTTACACAAGACAGATTGAGAGAAATCTTTCCACAATCTAAATTTCTATCACACATTCACATTTTTGTTTCCATTCTAGTGCTTCTTTTCTTTACTCATGAACGTGTAACCCTTTTCTGTTCAATCTAAACGTAAACACTTGGAAAAACAATTTCGCAACATCATTTTTCTCATGCGGCACGAGCTCTTGTACCAGTGCAGAGTGTAGACTAAAATAACTAAAACAATGAATTAAAAACAAGAGTACAAATGTGCCATATGTGCAAAGGGAGCGTAAATAAGATAAATATAATAAAAATCACTTGTTGAGGGCACTGATGGCTGCTGGTTGTACTTGGTCTTTAAATGATGTGAGCAAATGGAGGTGTATTTGAAAATCTTGCCTTTCAGTCAATTGTTTTTGGCAATTAATGTGATAAATATAAAACGATTATGTCCCACTGACTTTTCTAGAAATGGTCTTTATTTTGGTTTTCACTTTGGTGGGATAATACAGTCTATGTCATCACAAAAGTCCCAAACACGGGGACAATTTACAATAAATAAATAAAATAAATAATAATAATAAAGGTAATGTCGCATCTCTATCTGTCAATCAGGTGAACCTCTTTCAAATTCATTCATACTTACTTTGACAGTTCACAATCACAACTCCTGACAGATCAAAAAATTCCTTTGGCACAAAATAAAAATAAATAAAAGTATCTTCACATTTCTATCTCTCGACCAGTGTTGGGAAGGTGACTTTTAAAATGTAATCCCCTACAGATTACAGATTACATACCTCAAAATGTAGTTTGTAACGTAATCCATTAAATTACTTAAAGTGAGTAATGTAATCTGAATACTTTGGATTACTTGATTTGCTGTAGAGAAACAAAGACGAGGATATTTTCGCATAAGAAGTTTTGTCTGCTTAAAGAAAATAAAAAGCCCAGACTTTACTGAACCAAATTAAAAATATTATTGATAGAAGACGAGACGACACGGTCCGCGCGGCATGATTTAGTCCTGTTTTAGTCCTGGTTTAGACCTGGTTTAGATCTGGTTTTAGTCCTGGTTTAGTCCTGGTTTAGACCTTGGTTTAGACCTGGTTTAAGACCTGGTTTTAGACCTGGTTTAGTCCTAGTTTAGACCTGGTTTTAGACCTGGTTTTAGACCTGATTTAGACCTTGTTTTAGACCTGGTTTTAGACCTGGTTTAGACCCAGTTTAGACCCAGTTTAGACCCGGTTTAGACCCGGTTTAGACCTGGTTTAGACCCGGTTTAGTCCTTGTTTTAGACCTTGTTTTAGACCTGGTTTTAGACCTGGTTTTAGACCTGGTTTAGTCCTAGTTTAGACCTGGTTTAGACCTGGTTTTAGACCTGTTTTTAGACCTGATTTAGACCTTGTTTTAGACCTGGTTTTAGACCTGGTTTTAGACCTGGTTTAGACCCGGTTTAGACCCGGTTTAGACCCGGTTTAGACCCGGTTTAGACCCGGTTTAGACCCGGTTTAGACCCGGTTTAGTCCTGGTTTAGACCTGGTTTAGTCCTGGTTTAGACCTGGTTTAGACCTGGTTTAGTGTCCGGCAATGAATGGAATTACAGAAAAAAAAAGGGGGATATAACCCAAAATGTAAAAACAGGACAATATTGCCGTGTAATCCATTTATTTCAACAAAGTAACTGTAATCCAATTACCACTCACTGAAACAGTAACTGTAACTGAATACAGTTACTCATAATTTGTACTCTGATTACATAACTCTGGTACATGTAATCTGTTACTCCCCAACACTGCTCTCGACCAGGTGAACCTTCTCTTTCAAATTCTTTTATACTTGTCTTGTTTGTCCAAAATGCAGGGACAATTCACAATCACAACCACTGACAGATCAAAACATTTCTTTAGCAAAGAATAAAACAAAACTTATTACTTACTGATACTTATTAATACTTTTCTCTCAACCAGGTGAACCCGTGTGTTTCAAATTCATTTATTCTTGCTCATCTTCTTTGTGCAGCGCTAAAACCCGCCTGGCAGCTCTGGAGTCTCTGAAACAGGCCTTCTCCTCCAGATTACTCTACGAGTTTTTGACCGAGCGAAGACTCACTGTGAGCGACTGCCTGGAGAGGAGTCTCAGGAAAGGTCTGTTGGCTTTTAATTACAAACATGTATGTACGTTTTAGATTTTTCTGTCAAATATTACAAATTGCAAATACTCTTATGGTAAAATTTGATACATGAACACTTAAAGTAATAAGAATAAGAGATGAGGTGCATTTAAGGACACTGATATTAATTGTAAAGGTATAAAATGTAAACTTAGCAGGTTTTACACATAGTAATAAAATGTTTTGCCTGCTTGTGTCCATGAAGATGATTGTGCTCTGCCTTGAATATTCCACAATATGGCATTAAATTATATTATTTATTTCGTGTGTTCAATTACAGGCAGACTTATTCAAAATTACCTTGAAAAATGGGTATTGTTATTATAAGTGGGGTCACCTCTTCACAGATCTCACCTGTAATTTGGTAGGGGTGTAACGATACACAAAAATCATGGTTCTGTATGTACCTCGGTTTTGAGGTCACGGTTCGGTTCATTTTTGGTCCAGTATGGGAACAAAATACAAAAAAATTTGTGTGTTTATTAAACCAACAATTAGTTTTAACATTATACAAAAGGCAAAATAAAATAAATGTAAAGTGCTGCCTGGTAATACTAAAAAGTTAAATAAAATATTCTCCAATAATCAACAAATGAAGGAAAAACATACAGAGATTCCGTGCTGGTGCATGACGACCGTAGTTTTGGGAGGATTCACGTAGTCAAGGTGGGGGGAAATTATTGTCAAGGCGGCCGCCCCAATTCCCCCGTGAATATTAAAGAGCCGAGTCTGTGTCGGAATGTAAACACACACAAATAACGCAAATTCACTCGTGCACTGCCCTGCACCGAATCGAACGTCCTGGACCAAAACGCTTCAGCAAAATACATGTACTGTTTCACACCCACAGTGTTGGGAGAGTTACTTTTAAAATGTATTCCCCTACAGATTACAGATTACATATTCCAAAATGTAGTTTGTAATAGAATCCATTAAATTACTTAAAGTGAGTAACGTAATCTGAATACTTTGGATTACTTGATTTGCTGTAGAGAAGCAAAGACGAGGAAATCATAATATAAGATGTTTTATCTGATAAAAGAAAATAAAAAGCCCAGACTTTACTGAACCAAATTAAAAATATTATTGATAGAAAAGGAGGAGACACGTCCACACAGCATGATTTAGTCCTGTTAAATCCTGTTTTAGTCCTGGTTTAATCCTGGTTTAGTCCTGGTTTAGACCTGGTTTAGACCTGGTTTAGACCTGGTTTAGACCTGGTTTAGACCTGGTTTAGACCTGGTTTAGATCTTGTTCAGAACTGGTTTAGTTTCCGGCAATGAGTGGAATTACCGGGGAAAAAAAAAGAAAAAAGAGGGGGTGGGGGGTATAGCCCAAAATGTGAAAACAGGAAAACACCGCTGTGAATTCCATTTATGTCAACAAAGTAACTGTAATCCAATTACCACTCACTGAAACAGTAACTGTAACTGAATACAGTTACTCATAATTTATACTCTGATTAAGTAACTCCGGTACATGTAATCTGTTACTCCCCAATCAGCACACCCCTATAATGTGTCCTCTGTGAACATGAGATTAATGCCATACAGCGGAACATTTAAGGGCGTAACAATAACAGCAGGCTTTACACATAATAAGAAAGAATTTGGTTGTCTGTATAACTTTACATAAACATATTCACCTTTTAACATGCTGTGACCAGTGGCCACTCAAAATTGTGCTTTGATTAAAAACAAAACAAATTTATATAAACCAGCAATAAAAACTTGAGGTAACCTTTTGTATTAGCAAGTAAAGTCTTTCAGGATGGAGACAGTTGTTCAGTGCTGGAGCTCTGTCGTGTGTTTTTGTCCAGGAGGAGGTGAGGAGCAGGCAGCAGCAGCTTCTCTCTTCTCTCTGTTGTGTATCCAGCTCGGAGGAGGAGACGAGGCCGAGGAGGGATTCAAGATCCTCAGACCCGTTCTGACCAGCATCCTCATCGACACAGGAGCCAGCCTCAGCGCCAGGCAGAGCGTCAGTGCAACTTTTTAAGACTTGTGATGCTTTTTGGGGGTACCGTATTTTCTGCACTATAGGGCGCACTGGATTATAAGGAGCACTGTCATTGAATGGTCTATTTTTGAACTTTTTTCACATATAAACCGCACCGGAATATAAGGCGCATTAAACAAAACACAACAGTTGGATAAATCTGTCAAAACTTTATTTAACACGTTCACAATAACTCTCAACTTTGTTCAATTGTGAACGTGTAAAAAAAAATACTGTCTGAGACGCTTAAATTGTTCGTGTATTCACAATAACTCATAATTGTTCAAACAGTTGGGTGATTACGGCGTCCATCACGCCCACATCCCTCTCGTCATTATCCGAGTCAGTGTGGTTACTGTTCCCTGGCAGTTCAGTGATGATTCTGGTCTTGGTGAAAGCTCGGACCACAGTTGATACTGATCCTTAGCTCGGCGCTGTCTCTCTGTCTTGGTGAATGTGTGTTCTCCTTCTCTCATCCACTGCTCCCACGCAGCTCGCACTTTAACTTCATAATAGCCTTGAGTTTAAAGTTGGCGTTGTGAGCGTGTCTCTTGACAGGTGCATTTTGATATTAAAAGGAATCACAGTATGTATTACTCCGTGTTTCTCCTGACTATGGGAGCCGTAATGCTGCAAGTGGTGCGGCTTTGTAGTTTACTAAAGTCGTACTAAGACACCCCAATAAATTCATATATAAGGCGCTCTGGATTATAAGGCGCGCAGTCGTTTTTTGATGGAATTAAAGGTTTTTAAGTGAGCCCTATAGTGTGGAAAATACGGTATTTAAACTACAACACTGAGCTAAAAGGGCTTGATAATAGAAAGTGTTTAAATGACGCAGAACAGATTGGCCCACCTCTTTATAGTCGTGTTCCATCAGATTTTTTTTTTTTTCATTTACTCATTTTTATTGTTGAAAAGTGACATATTTGAACCTCCCGTATATGACCTGAAGCCTCCATTTGTTGTATGACACAAAGAGGTGGACGGACATAGGGGGTAGGTGAAAACAGCTACTCTGAAGTATTACTAACTCAAAACAGCGATGAAAGAATTAAAATACTGTTACAGCATGATGGTTAAAGAATCTATTTGATGATAATATTAATTTCCATAATGTTTATTTCCAGTGCGCCAGAGCTTTGGGAATGTGCTGCTATGTCTCTACTGCTGAAGACGGAGAGGTATTTAAAGAAAAAAAACTTTTAAAAACTATTATTAAAGGTTCATTGTGTAACTTTTCTGGTGGAGGGTCTGTCAAACGCTTTTCTCTGTGGAGATGTTATTGCTTCGTCTGCAGTGTTGGGGAGTAACAGATTACATGTACCGGAGTTATGTAATCAGAGTACAAATTATGAGTAACTGTATTCAGTTACAGTTACTGTTTCAGTGAGTGGTAATTGGATTACAGTTACTTTGTTGAAATAAATGGATTACATAGCGGTATGTTCCTGTTTTCACATTTTGGGCTAAATCCCTTTTTCTTTTTTTTTTTTCTTTTTTTTTTTGTAATTCCACTCATTCCCGGAAAACTAAACCAGGACTAAACCAGGTCTAAAACCAGATCTAAACCAGTACTAATACAGGACTAAACAGGATTTAACAGGATAAAAACATTCTATCAATAATATTTTTTATTTGGTTCAGTAAAGTCTGGACTTTTTATTTTCTTATAACATCTTATGTGAAGATATCCAAGTCTTTGCTTCTCTACAGAAAATCAAGTAATCCAAAGTATTCAGATTACGTTACTCACTTTAAGTAATTTAATGGATTACGTTACAAACTATATTTTGGGGTATGTAATCTGTAATCTGTTGGGGAATACATTTTAAAAATAACCTTCCCAACACTGTTCTTCTGTAATGTTTCACAGTATGGTATTAAACATTTCTGTCATTAATGAGACCAAACCAGACCAAGTTACAGGTCAGATCTGTGGAGAGGCTACCCCGCTCCCAGTCAGAATGTTTGTTTTGCTAGGTATTTTTGAGCTATAAAATGACTTGTAATTGAATAAATGTAAGGCAGAGCTGTTTAAAGTCACACTGTGGAACATTCCAGGCAGAGCAATGACACATCCATAGAAAAAAGTTACACAGTGCACCTTTAAATCAACAGCTGCGAGTATTAGAGGGTTTCCACGGTGATGGAAATCTTGGAAAAGACATGTAAAGTGAAAATGTCAAGTTCCAGGCCTGAAAAAGTCGAGACATTTTGTAAATTCAATGAAAGTTTTGGAGAAGTCGTGGAATTTTTGTTTAGTATCTTTCACGGAACTACAGCTTAAGTTTTCATTAGACTATTCTGATTATGTCTGAACGTCTGCACCTTTTGTTTTAAAAGAGACGACAGTAAATGCACTGACAGGATTTTGAATGTTAAAAAAACTATAAAACCAAAACATAATTGAGTGGAAAGAATTAATGTTTCATATTTAGCCCTAAAAGTGTATTCAATTCTACACATGTAGGTGTTGTGAAGTCATGGAAAGTTCACTTTAGGTCGTGAAAAAGTCATTTGAAATTCTGTCAGTGAAATAGAGTGGGATTCCTCGTATTAGTACAAGCTCTGACTCTGTGTCTCTGTAGGACCTGATTCAGTCTCTGTCTCTGCTGGAGGGGGTCTTCATGGCGTCGTATCCGAACAGAGAGGGGGTCCTGCCCTCGGTGAAACCAGGGACCCCGGCTCTGCACACGGCGGCTCTCCAGGCCTGGGCTCTGCTCCTCACACTGTGCCCCGCCTCCAAGATCAACTCACTGCTGGACAGGTGAGTTTCAAATGTTTCCCGTGTTTATAAACCAGAAGAGACCATTTGTTGTGTGAATTAAATACATTTGTTAGAGCTAATATCATAGACAATACATACCTCGATACTTAGGCCACAGTACGATACAGATCCTGATACGGTGAGCTTTTGATTCGATACAATATATTTCAAATCGATTCAATATGGTTCAATAAAAAATAAAGGCTAAATCACGGCTGTGTTACTAAAAATCTTCATTAAACCACTTCTTGTGCAAAGTTAGTATGAAACACAAACATTTTACTCATCAAAACAGTGAAAATGTCAAATGTGCCGCATAAATTAGTTTCCTTCCACTAAACAAGCAACAAAACTGTAGCTCTGTAACAAAATTGTTGAGTAAAATATACCGAAAATACTCTTGATGATATCGATACAGCAGCCCACGATATTGATACTGTATCATCACATTAAACAATACGATATATCAATATTTCTATATTTTTGCACACCCCTAACTAGCCGCTGCGTTCGAAATAAGAAGTGTTCATGGTGGTGCTTCTGGTTCCATCGACTCAGGTTCCAGTTATGTTTATATTGAAAAACCTCACCCCTCTCTCTGTAACTGCTGCTGTGAGCCTCGCCATTTTGGTCTTAAAATGTTCATATTAACCCACTCTACATGATCCTAGAAGAGTGAACAAACAAAAATATAATTTATAGTCACAAAAAGGGTAGAGAATAATTGGTTGTGGGACATTTATGTAAACGTGATAAACACCAACGAAGATAATCGCCATTTTATCACCAGAATGTGCTGAAAAAAGCTACTTATCCTTGATGTTTTTCTTCTAGATCAGGGGTGTTAAACATATGGCCCGGGGGCTGGATCCAGCCCTCCAAAACCTTTAATCTGGCCCTCGGCTGATTTTCTTCTAAAATATTTGAATTATATTTTAAAACCTGAAGACAGAATTTGCTATTTTTCGCACACCATTCACAGTCAAAACCTCTGATGTGCCCGCACACATGCAACTAGAAATAATAGATTTACAGTTACTATCTACCTTTGTGAGCAGTAATGAACATTAAAAAAACAAATCTGCGGTCAAAGACAACACACAAGCACTTGAATAACATTTTGAAGACAGCATCTGCTCAGGACATGGTGCCTGATATTGATGCACTTGTGCAGGATAAAAAATGCCAAGTTTCAGGAGCAAAAACAAAGCATGACTAAACTGTATGAAATGCAAACAAGTTCATGTTAAAACTTTGTGTTGAAATTGCATTTTTCTTAAAGTTTCAGGTTGTTCATAATATTATAATATTATAATAAGAAAGAGTTCATCAATTAAAAAAGATTTCAGTAATAAATTTGCGATTCTCTGCACAAATATTTGAACTTATTGTTATTTTTGGGGTTTATATGTCATGAGTTTTCTGATCTGGCCCCTTTGGATCATAGTAGGTTGGATACGACCCCCGGACCAAAATGAGTTTGACACCCCTGGTCTAGATCAGATTTAATGCACAATTCTATAGTTGTTTAAAAATTTAACTTATTCATAATATTAAAATTATTCTTATTAAAAAAAAATTTTTAAGTGTCACCTACTTTATTATTGTGATATAATTGTTAGAGCTTTTTGGTGGAGGGTTCATCAGATGCTTGTTTCCACGGAGATGTTCTTGCTTTGTCTGGAATGTTTCACAGTATGGCATTAAACCTTTCTATCTTCATGGAGACCAAACCAGACCAAGTTACAAGTCAGATCTGTGGAGAGGCGACCTCGCTCACTGTCAGAATGTCTGGTTTTCTAGGTATTATTGAGCTATAAAACCACATGTAATTGAATAAATATGAAGTAGAGCTGTTTAAAGTCATATTGTGGAACATTCCAGGCAGGGCAGTGATATCCATAGAAACAAGCAGGTGACGGACCCCCAACCAAGAAGTTACATAGTGCTCCTTTAAACAATGAGGCACAGAGTCGTTGAACACCTGGAAATAGTGGAAATAGTGTAATTTTGGCCCTTTTTAAGTTGACAAAACATCATCCTGTTTTCCTTCTCTCCAAAGCCACATCCCCAAACTGCAGTGCTGCCTTCAAAGCCCAGACGTAAACTACAGAATCGCCGTGGGAGAAACCATCGCTCTCCTGGTCGAGCTCGGACGAGACATAGATGAGGTACACAAATAATCAGAACATTTTTACTGTTAGGAAGCTCAGCAGGAAGGTGATCAATGACCCAACCCATGTTCTTCACAGTCAGTTTGAGTTGATGCCATCAGGCAGAAGGTACAGGGTCCCAAACTGTAAACTGAACAGATTCAAACATTCTTTTGTGCCACTAGCTGTTAAACTGCTAAACTCAGATAATGCAGTTAAAAAATAATTATAAAAGGCTTAGGGATTGTGCAATCAAAACTGCACATAGGTGTAGGGAATGTGCCATTAAAGCTACACATAGGCTTAAGGAATGTGCAATAATTAAATCTGCACATAGGCTAAGGGAATGTGCAATAATTATAACTAAAACTGCACATAGGCTTAGGGAATGTGCAATCAAAACTGCACATAGGCTTAGGGAATGTGCAATAATTATAACTAAAACTGCACATAGGCTTAGGGAATTAGGCTTAGGGAATGTGCAATAATTATAACTAAAACTGCACATAGGCTTAGGGAATGTGCAATAATTAATAGAACAGAAGAATGCAAGGGTTTGCCTGTTAAGGATAATTTAAGGGTCGTGTTGGTGCATCACTCGTGGTCATACTGGTCTCATATTTACTTTGTTTTATGGTGTTTGTTTATGTGCTGCTTTGTGTTGTGTTGTCCTGTTTTTTGATAAAACATGTTACGCCCTTGTCCCAAGACAAATTTCTCCCATGGGAGACAATAAAGGATTATCTTATCTTATCTTTACAAGTGCTAAATAATTATGTAATGTATGTTTTTCAAGTCTGTGTTGAACCAGGCATACATTTCACACTCTTTTTTTGTCTTTTTTTGTCTTTTTTTTCAGGAGTTTGAGGTAGAAGACAGCGATAGTTTGTGTGAATCCTTGAAAAGTTTAGCCACAGACGGCAACAAGCACAGAGCCAAAAATGACCGTCGGAAACAGCGGTCCATATTCAGAGAAGTCCTGCACTTTTTAGAGGTACAGTTTAAACTCTTGTGAGCTTTAAGTCGTGTTATAATGTTGGTACTTCATCAAAAACACACCTGGAGTTGTGTTTTGTTTCATTCACACATGTTTGAGTAACCTTTTGTTGTTAGTTTACATTTACAAACTCATAATGCTCAGTTCCAACTTGTGATGTTATGAAGTGGTAGTTTTCAAGTTTACAGCTGCATTTTGCCTTTAGTTCTGTAGAGATTGGCAATTCTAGGGCTGAAATCATTCAAATGATTCTAGTGAACGTGTGTGGCGTTTAAAATCCAGGATTCCCACGGTCATTGAAATCCTGGAAGTCATGGAATTTAAAGGTTGTATAGAGGATTTTTCAAGGGAAAAGAAATACAGCGGCAGTCCTTTTTCCAAATGTTGTGCATGCGTGACACCACCTTCCTCCTCCACAGCTCCCTCAGTAGAAACATCTCCTCCCGCCTCTTTACTCTAGAAATCACTCTTGTTTACAGCCGGTGAAGTGACCTGTCTAGAAATAATTTAGCGACCGACGCGTCAGTTTTTAGATCCTTCGTCTGCTTCAGTCGCGCCATCGCTGAAAGGAATCTCCAAGAATCACCTCAGTTTGTCTTCGCTCCTTTTCCCCTTCTCTTCTTCTTTCAGCGACCTCAAAAACTGACTTTCTTTTGCGGCGAACTGGTCGTGGATTCTCGTCCGCCATCGCAACAAACTTTGTGCGAACTGCGAGGAAGCGACAGTTTAAAAAAGCCTCTAAAACCCGCTGCATAAACCACATAATCCCTGCGCGCCGCGAGTCAGTTACACTAGAAATGTAGGGAGTTTGATTGACAACCTAACAGCCAATAGATAAAGAGGGAGCCTCGTTTTCTATTGGCTGATGTTTCTCTGGCCTCACTTCGTCCGCAGTTGATAGATTTTCATTCTTTTTTTATTGGTCATCTTAATTACAAGGCTGCCGCATCTCTGTAATGGTATTTTAAACTTTCATTAACAATTTGAAACAAAACAAAAAATCCTCCATACGACCTTTAAGTATCTCTTTCACGCAACTACAGTGTTCTGTTAAGTTTTCATTAGGCTATTCTGATCATTTCTGAATGTCTGCGCCTTTTGTTTAAAAGAGACGACAATAAATACACTGACAGGATTTTGAATGTTAAAAAACTATAACACCAAACCATAAGGTGAGTGGAAATGTTCAAGATTTCATATTTAGCCCATCAATTCTGCACATGTAGGTGCTGTAAAGTCATGGGAAATTCACTTTAGGTCAGACATGTGAAACTCAGGCCCGGGAGACCAAATTTGGCCGGCGATATAATTATATTTGGCTCGTGAAATCATATCAAATATGTATTAGAGCTGCCCGCCGGCTACAGATAGACTATAGATAGACATTATTTATTTAAAATGTTGTTATTATTTTATATTCTGCTTGTTCTGGATTCATAGTTTTAGTAAAACTATTATTACACATTTATTTTAATGAGAAAAGATTTAACATTACATATCTCAATAGAAGAGAAAACATGCAGATGTTGTTGACATTTTTCAGTAAATATTTAGTTTGGCCCACGACTTGGTCCCAGTTTTTCATTTTGGCCTCTGTGAACTTGAGTTTGACACCCCTGCTTTAGGTCATGAAAAAGTGATGGAAAAGTTTAGACATTTTGTCGGTGAAAAACCGTGGATACCCTGACAATCAAAGTGGAGCACTTTGTATATTACCACGTGACATCACAAGGAAGAACAGAGTGTTTTCGGTTTGAGGGAAGAACTCAAGCTAAATATGCAGAGTTTGTGTGGTAAACATGTGAATGAAACAAAACACAACTCGAGGTCTGTTTTCAATAAGGGAACAACATTATAACATAGATTAGAAAATGGTGCAGTAGGGGTCCTTTAACTCTTCTTCACAAAGATGATGAAGAAACAGATTTTGACTCATTTCTGCGTTATTTCTGTAGAATGAGGAGTTCACAGAGGAGAAGATTCGTTTCGGAGTGGAGAGCGTTTACATCGACAGCTGGACGAGAAGACGGATCTATGACGCCTTTAAAGAAATACTGGGCTCTGGAGTCAGGCACCACCTACAGGTCAGTTAAAGAATCACTGTGTAACTTTTTAGTGAGGGATGATTATGTTTTGCCTAGAATATTCCACAGTAAGACATTAAATAATATTGTATATTTGATGTATTTTATTAAACGTAAACCAGGTATAGTCAAAGATACCTGGACCCGACTATCTAGCACTTTTATTATGTAATCAAGTAAAGTAACATTATACGTATTTTTTATTTCACACTTTATTTATATGTTGTGTGAAACTAACTGAATTGTGTGTTCATTTTAGTTCAACCCGCTCTTGAGAGACATCTTTGGCCTTGGAGCTTCTCTCATTTTAGACCCTGTTGCTGTTAAAAACAACAAGATTTCACGTTTTGAGAAGGTAAATACTCAGATTTTATATTTTTAGTTTCCTTTCCTTATTGAACATTACGAGTGATGGGAAGAGCTCTTTGAAAATGTATTTAGTTACAGAATACTGAATACCTGCATTAAATTGTATTTTGTAACATATTCGTATATACATGGTCCAGTCTAAGTACTGTATTCTCAATACATAGAACAGACATGTCAGACTCAGGCCCAGGGGCCAAATTTGACACTCGTTATAATTATATTTGGCCCGCGAGATCATTTCAAATATGTATTAGAGCTGCCCGCCGGTTACAGACAGACTATAGAGACATTATTTATTTAAAATGTTGTTATTATTTTATATTCTGCTTGTTCTGGATTCAGTGTTTAAGCAAAACTATTATTAAACATTTATTTTAATAAGAAAAGGTTTAACATTACATATCTCGAAAGAATAAAAAACATGCAGATGTTGTTGACATTTTTCAATAAATGTTTACTTTGGCCCACGACTTAGTCTCAGTTTTTAATTTCGTCCCTTTGTGAATTTGAGTTTGACACTAGGGCTGTCGCGGTTAGGGAATTTCTCCTACGGTGCAGTATAGTGGCTCAACAACAGATGATATCGCAACCCCTCCCCCACCCCACATCCCCCGGAGTTACAATATTTCCATCGGCACTGAAAACTCTCTCCGATGATGCACATTCACATGCACCTTGGTTGTCGTGTGGATATAACGTGTGTAGCGTGGGAGAAATAACACTTGTCTTTGGAACAAGTGCCGCTGCATCTCTCCAGCTCTCACTGTGGCAGCTCGGGTCAGAGTCCTGCACCAGGTCGGGTACACGGGGACTTAAGAGAGCACGCGGAGCAGGTGTCCACAAAGTGCGATCGGGTGACGGCTGCATTTACCTCCGTGCAGCGCGGAGCTCCTGCAGTCCTTTCATCTGCGGTCACCCGACAGTCTTCACAGGCACACCTTAGTCCTGGGTTAGTCCTGGGTTAGTCCTGGGTTAGTCCTGGGTTAGTCCTGGGTTAGTCCTGGGTTAGTCCCGGGCAGAATGTTAACGGGTCCGTGCGGGTGCAGGACTCTGGGTCGGGTCATGTGGTCAAGCCCTACTTGACCCTGAAATAAAATATTTTTACACTGAGTTGCATTTAAATTAGTGTGAAAACTAAACATAGTATTAATAACCAGAGAAGTCGACAGGGGGGACAAAGGGGGTTTGTCCTGGGCCCCGAGGTCTTAGGGACTCAGAATTGGACCCTTTTAATTTATTTTGGAGGGAGGCCTATCTGAGACTTCTTGCCCTGGGCCCCCAAATTTATGTGGACGGGCCTGTTAATAATATGTTTGTTTCACTGTTTTTAAAACATTTTCTATCACTGACTGAAGATGGGAAAAATCACACCTGCACTCATGGCAAGAGCAGTGTTTTCTATTTTTTCTCACTGATTCTTTGCAGTTTGAAGCCTAAATTGCATGATAAAATACCATAATTTACTCCTTTGTTTTATAGTGTATTCTGAATACAACCAAATGAAGTAACTGTACAGGAATACAGTTACTCACATTTAGTACTCAGAACACATATTCTTGGTGCATATATCCAGTTGCTTCCCAACACAAGAATTATTCTTTTATAATTTCATCTGTTTTATTTATTTATTTGTTTTTCAGCATCTTTTCAACGCTGCTGCCTTCAAAGCACGGACGAAACTGAGGAACAAAGTGAGGGACAAACGCGCCGACGTCATGTGACCGGAGCACATTCGCAAAAAGTTTAGGAAAATATAAATCAAGACGGAACTGAAGCCTACAGAATGGACTCTGCCTCTTTTGTCTCATCCAGCATGGTCGGCTGCCCGTGCTCCAAGTCGGCCAGTTCCTCTCCGAAAACCCCGACGCCTTAGCCAGACTTCACCCTCTGCCTTGAAAAACCAACCACACATGGACCAAGGTTTTAGCAAAATGAATATTATGCGCGCTGTCTCAGGTTTACAGTCTCAAATACTATTGCTGTACTTTCTATGGCAATGTACAGACCTATGCATTTTCACTTTAAGTTAGTTTTTCAAATAATATTACAATAAAACAGGTCACATATTTAGGAATGGATCGGCCCTGGTTCATTGGTGAATCTAATGGGCGAAATACTTTAAAAAGACATTTAAAGGGCCCTTATTATGTTATTTTCTGATGTATGTAATTATAATGTTTTTTCCTCATCAAAAACAGACCTGGAGTTGCGTTTTGTTTCATTTACCCATTTACCGTATTGTCCACACTATAGGGCGCTCTGGATTATAAGGCGCACTGTCATTGATTGGTCTATTTTCTAACTTTTTTCACAAATAAACTACACCGGACTATAAGGCGCATTAAATGAAATACAACAGTTCGATAAGTCAGTCAAACTTTATTTAATACGTTCACAATAACTCTCAACTTTGTTCAACTGTAACGCGTAAAAAAAAAACTGTCTGAGATGCTAAATTGTTCGTGTATTCACAATAACTCATAATTGTTCAAACAGTTGGGGGATTACGGCGTCCAGCACACCCGCATCCCTCTCGTCATTATCCGAGTCAGTGTGGTTACTGTTCCTTGGCAGTTCAGTGATGATTTGGGTCTTGGTGAAAGCTCGGACCACAGTTGATACTGATCTTTAGCCCGGGCGTCCACGATCCGTCGGCAGATCGTGGCGTAAGTCGCTCGGCGCTGTCTCTCTGTCTTGGTGAATGTGTGTTCTCCTTCTCTCATCCACTGCTCCCACGCAGCTCGCACTTTCACTTTATAACAGCCTTGAGTTTAAAGTGAGCGTTGTGAGCGTGTCTCTCGACAGGTGCATTTTGATATTAAAAGGAATCACAGTATGTTTTACTCTGCGATGCTCCTGACTACAGGAGCCGTAATGCTGCAAGTGGTGCGGCTTTGTAGTTTACTAAAGTCGTACTAAGACACCCCAATAAATTCATATATATAAGGCGATCTGGATTATAAGGTGCACAGTTGTTTTTTGATGAAATTAAAGGTTTTTAAGTGCGCCCTATAGTGCAGAAAATACGGTATACAAGATTACTCAAACGTGAATGAAACAAAACACAACTCCAGGTATGTTTTATGAAGAGGTAAAACCATTATAACATGGCTTAAAACGCACAAGAGTCAGTTTTGTGTCATATAGGACCTTTTAACTTGAGCCAAAAACATATTTGATCATGCTTTAAAAAACAACTATTCTTTTACTGGCCCCTTGAGGCTGGAGGTGGTATTACAAGTTAAAGTATAAACACCATTTCTACCTTTACTACTGCTTTTCTTAGTGTTCTGTTATTTCTTTAAATCTTCTAATTTTCACATCTAGAGCAGTAGGAACCCAAACTAATTTTATTCATGTTTTTGTGACACTACTTTGTACAAAAGTATAATTATTCTTTCTAAACCTTTAATCCTCAAGAGACAAGGGCCTGTGTATTATCATGGTGGTTGGAAAATGTTGTTTAAGCGCTCCCTCGAGGAACCAGCTAGGGACTGCAGCTCTCTCTTCAGTCTATCTCAAACCAGAGCCATGGTTTAATCTGCCAAAAATGAAGTGTGTTGTGAGAGTTTATTTAACTTTTTAAATAAATAATATCTATAGGAGACTCCCAATGGGTTTGAGAAGCTATAGTCTTTGTACTCAGATGAATTTATGAGAGAAGATATCCAGTTTTAACCATTGTGTTGGAGAGAAGTGTGTTTTACTCCTAATTTATTACAAATCCGGGTGGTGCTGTGGTGCCGTTTACTCCGTCTGGTTTTCAGACGGACAGGAAATGTGGAAATGTGTGCAACTTGAATCAATAAAAAAATGAAATACACCTTAAATATGTATTAGTCTGGGTCACTCGGCTTATTTTATCACTGTTCCAAGTTGTGATGTCATGTGGTAATACAGGAAGTGCCCCACTGTGTGTTTTTTTTTGTTTTTTTTTTTTTAACTCCATACACCTTTACTGGAATCATCTGGATCATTTCAGCCCTGGAAGTTACAGCAGGGTTCCCACGGTCATGGAAATCCTGGAAAAGTCATGTTATGTTGTATATTCAATGAAAGTTTTGGAATAAGTCATGGAATTTTAGTATCTCTTTCACACAACTACAGCGTTCTGTTAAGTTTTCATTAGGCTATTAAGATTATTTCTGAACATCTGCACCTTTTGTTTAAAAGAGACGACAATAAATGCCCTGACAGGATTTTGAATGTTAAAAAATTATAATACCAAACCATAAAGTGAGTGGAAAGGGTTAACATTTCATATTTAGCCCTGAAAGTCTGATGAATTCTACACATGTAGGTGCTGTAAAGTCATGGAAAATTCACTGTAGGTTGTGAAAAAGTCATGGAAAAGTTTTGAAATTTTGTCAGTGAAAACAAGTGGGAACTCTGTTACAGGCTCTACTAAACAAAAGGTAAAAGGTTCGCCTTTAACTTGAAAACTACCGCTTCATGACTTAGACCAGGCATATCCAAACTACAGCCTGTGGGCCAAATGCGGCCCTCGAACTAATTTTTCTTGGCCCTCAGGCTTCCAGGTGACTTGACCCAAATTACCTTACATCAATTAAAAATTAACTTTTTACTGCAAGTTTTTTGAAAATCAACTTTGATAAAGCTAATATTGAATAATTAGTGTGTGGTTTTGAGGATCTTGGCATGAATAAAGGACAGACGGCTCATTCTAACGTGTTAAACATCCACATATTTCAATTTTCAATTATTCCCTGTACTGAGCACCAGTGTACGGCCCTTGATCGGCCCCCTGCTTCGTCTGTGTTCAGATATGTGGCCCTTGATGAAAAAAGTTTGGACACCCCTGCTTTAGACAAACTGTACTGATCCACAAGGGAAATTCACATGACAAGGTGGAACGGAGCATTTTGAGCTTTGGAGATGTAGACAGATTAATAATGCAGGATTTCTCAAACACATATGAATGAAACAACACAACTCCAGGTCTGTTTTTGAGCAAGTAACAACATTAAAACATGGATTCAAGCTCACAAGAGTTAATTTTGTGTAATATAGGTAAGTGCATGTAACTTTTCTGGCGGAGGCTCTGTCACCTGGTTCTCTCTATGAAGATGTTGCCTGGAATGTTCCACAGTATGGCATTACACTTACTTATCTCTATGGAAACACCAGGCAGGTGACACCAAATGGCCAAGAGAGGCGAGCCCACTAATAGTAAGAATGCATGTTTTTAGGTCAATAAAACCAATGTTATTGAGTAAATTCCAAACCAGTTTAATTTCCATGGAGACGAGAAGGTGGCAGACCCTCAGCCAGAAAAGTTACACAGTGTATCTTTAACTGAAGAGCAGTGATCACAATGGATTTTTTAAAACTTACTTATGGAAGCCCTGAGAGGCAAGAGAAAAAAAAAGAGGCTCTATTTTGTAAGTGTTTTTTTTTTTTCACCAACTCAAAAAAAAAAAAAAAAACTCTACTTTTTTTTTTCTTTTTCTCTTGTGTTTTTTTTTATTATTTTTTTTTAAATTTTATTTATTTTTTGCTGTTGATGTGGCTGACGGAAAAAAAAAGTGAGAAAAAAGAGCGAGAGTGGGGATCACTGCTCCAGGCTGGAAGACAGAACGCCGCACTGCCTCTAGTTTTAGCGGGACTGAGGTGCACCCTGACCCGAACAGACATGAAAGGACCAGGACTGTACCAGGACTGTTGGGAGGGGCCTGGAGGTGCGTCCGTCGTACACGTTAGGGCGCACCTCAGCCCCGCTAAAACCAGAGACAGTGCGGCGTTCTGTCTTCCAGCCTGGAGCAGTGATCCCCACTCTCGCTCTCACAGAATGACAGCGGATCAGTGATGCATTGATCTTACTTCTCATATTACTCATAAAAGAGAACATAAAACATAAAACTCATGAAAAGACTGTATTCAGCTAGAATAAAAAAACACAACCTGTACCAGGTGAGTTTCAAACCCTGGCCTCCCACGTCCCAACTCAGAACCTAACGCCACAAGCCAAATCTCTGGCGACTTGCTGGAAATACTTAGGCTCTGAGTAGTGTTGTTTTTTTGTTTTGTTTTTTTCATCAGCCACACCAACAGTGAAAAAAAAAGAAAAAAAACACAAGAGAAAAAAAAAAAAAAAAAAATTTTTTTATTTATTTATTTTTTTTTTTTTAGAAAAAAAAAAAAGAATTGTCGAAAAAAATATGTAGAATTTTTTTTTCTTTTTTTGAGAATTTTTTTTTTTTTTTATTCTTTTTGAGTTGATGAAAAAAAAAAAACACTTAGAAAATAGAGTCCGTATTACGACGGAGTATAAGGGTCAGATGAAAAAAAAAAAAAAAATGCTGGCGCTACGAGAATAAAGTCGTAACATTTTGACATTAAAGTCGGAATATTTTGAGAATAAAGTCGAAGTTAAAATAAAGTCGGAATATTATGAGAATAAAGTTATAATATTACGAGAATGAAGTCGTAATAAAATCAAAGTCAAAGTGAAAAATGCAGCAGAAGATAAACCTTGTTTTTCAATATAAAACCAAAAATAAGAAAACGAACAACAATTTTCTTCATTATTTGCGCCTCCGGACTGAACCAGGACTGAACCAGGACTAAACGAGGTCCGAGACCAGACAGGGACTGAGACCAGGATTTAGACCGGGACTAGACAAGGACTGAGATCAGGATTGAGACCGGGAACAGGACCAGGACTGAGACTGGGAATGAGACCGGGACCAGACCAGGACTGAAAATGGTTTAGTCCTGGTTTAGTCCCGATTCAGTCCTGGTTCAGTTTTGGTTCAGTCCGTATGCGGCGCAATATTCCCACATCGCATTTTAAAGTCACGGAAATGCCATTTCCCATTTCCGTGACTTAAACCAGGATTAAACCTGGACTAAACCGTTTTCAGTCCTGGTCTGGCCCCGGCCTCAGTCCTGGTCTGGTCTCAGTCTCAATCCTGGTCTTTCTGGTTTGGTTCCGGACCTGGTTTAGTCCTTATTCAGTCCTTGTTCAGTCGAATGAACGAATGATACACAGATTCTTCTCCTTTACAAAATGCTCCAAATTCTCCATTCGTTCAGACTTTCCGAGCAGCCGATATTCTCCTAATATTATGACTTTATTTTGACTTTACTCTCATAAAATTACTACTTTATTCTCGTAAAAATATGACTTTATTCTTTAATGTCGAAATGTTACGACTTTATTCTAGTAGCGCCAGCATTTTTTTTTTTTTATCTAACCCTTATACTCTGTCGTACCAAATGACCTGCCTCTTTTTTTTTTTTTCCTCTTGCCTCTCAGGGCTTCTGTACTTACTATATGTTTATTATTTTTTTTTAATTTTTAAATTTTATTGGTTTATAAAGCTCTTAATGGTCTTAGTCCTATTTATTTATCTGATCTGCTTTTATCATATGAGCCCTCTCGGACTCTCAGGTCCTCAGGTAGTCTCCTTTTAGCTGTCCCAAGAGTTCAAACTAAAACTCACGGTGAGGCATCTTTTAGCTTTTACGGCCCCCGTCTGTGGAACAGTCTGCCTGAGGATCTGAGGTCCGCTGCGAGTGTTCATATTTTTAAAAGTAAACTTAAAACATATC